GCACACATTTGCATTCACTTACAACTTGACTTTCCGTGACATTTTAAAACAGAACAGAAGTAAATCTTCGAAGATTAATCGTTTTGGAAATAAGAAATACTTTTCGTAAGATCTCCGAGTGTTTTTTTTTTTTTTTATCGTCGCATGATCATCGTCGCATAGTCATTTAACTTTTGCGCGTTTGTCGTACCAGTACTGTTGTTTATTCAAAGGTGTACGCTTTTTCCTCTTCAATTGACAGGTGTCACATCATGACAGATACTTATCAAAGAATGTTTCAAAGTTTGCTCGGAAGCCTTTTAAGTTACCTTTACAAATAAAAATGTTTCGGTGAAAGCGTTCTCTTTACTTTGGATAACGTCTGTTCCCTTTCTCATCCACTCGCTATCAAATTATTAAGTTAATGGAGGATTTCCCGCAATTAATCTCGTAATTGTAGCCTTAAATCATTCGGGTTCTCATGGCAATCATGTTTTTATGTGTTAGAAAAAAAAATGTTATTGACCAGCATAGGTCGGTCTGTATTGGGAAAAACTGTGCCCTCTGTCTTGAGTACCGCCCTCGGCCTACGGCTTCGAGCGGTATCCAAGACCTCGGGCACAGTTTTTCCCAGTACGGACCTCCAGCTGGTCAAAAACATATATGTATTTTGTTTCTGTCGCGTGACTATGCATACTTTACCCAGTATTTGTTGCTCTTCATAGGTCAGCATTAGTGAAGATGCCGTTTCAGGTCTTTTTTTTATTCTAATTATTTTTCTTTTTAGAGCAAAAAGTGGGGGCTGGGGCACAAAAAAAGTGGTGGGGTCGCAGCCCTACCAGCCCCTCCCCCTCCGCGGTCCCTGACAGTAGAATTAAACCATGTCTGCATGTACTATGTCAACACAAGCAAAATTGATGCTTAACAAAAGCAAATGTTGCCAAGATCTTCCCGAGATATTTATCCTCAGCAAAGGACTCCAACTATTTGCTGACAATGGCAGAAAAAAAAAATTGTGGCTCCCTTTTACCGTAGAAAAGCATTAGTTTACTCCGGGCTTTAAGTCTGTTGACATTTATTTTACAGAAATTATATATGCAAGCTTTTCTAAGAAAATGTTTTCCCAAATGGTTCGCGTGTTTCCGAACCTTATCTACTGAGCACAGAATTGGCCCAGAATAGACAGAACTGAAGCTGATTTAACGAAAATTTATCAATCCACGATGTTCTAAGGCTGTATTTCTCTACTTGAATCCTCGAGGTTCGACATGTCATTGCTCAACCAAGATTGCCAAATTAAGAACATCAATATGCACGATAACCTCTGACTGTGGAAGCTCAACTTCGTAATTTCTTATTCAAAATCGTTTTGCGGACACTCAGTTGTAAGAATCGTTAATGAAAGTATCAATAAGTAATTAGCTAGGGCTCTTGTAGTTAGCTCTACTTGTTGTTACGTTTGAACATAGAGAAACATTTGGCGAGTGAATGCTACGATTTCCGTCCATGAGAATTAGGTTTCTTCTAGTACAACTGATATCTGAGTTGCCATCACTGAATAGAAAATCATAAACGATGGCTACATTTGCATCGAGAGAGCTGTTGAACAATTCGTGACTCTATTCCACTATGTGATCTGCATCCTTCATTCACTAATGGCTACCAGTCTAGATACTGCTACCATTGTACTGAAAACGTTTCTCAATTGAATTTGCTGGTAGGCGGCATACTTCAGAAACGAATTCTAGAATTCTCACCTCCTTTGCCGTCCAAGTTGACTTTTCCTCTGACGACTGGAGTTTCTTTTTCACTTTTTCTTTCATTTCGTCCAGAGTTTTCAGCCCCTTGAACGGAATTTTTAGCAACACCATTATGCTTAACATGTCTGCGAAATTGTCGATCTTGTCAATACATCTGGAGTTGCATTCATGATGAACACCGATAACTCGAGCGCTTATGATCAAACTTTTATATGTATTTCATATATATTTGTTGTTTAACCATCTCTTGTTTGACCCATCGGAGTTTTCAGTCGCATTGATATTTCCCTGTTTCGCTTGGAGACACACGGTTAAACAATACGTATACATATATAGGTTTCATCCAATTTCAGGTCGGAGCCTTTCCTGTATTTAGTCGCTCCAATTGGAGCGACTAAATACAGGAATGGCTCCGGTCTCTGATCGTTCGCCTGAACTGGGCCAAGACTGACCAATTGAGTTTAGGTAGAGGAATTTGTCAGCGGATAACTTAGTCATCGCCGGATCACCGTTGAACGACCTCGCAGAACAAGAAAGGCCCTCCCCTCGTTATGTAAGTAACCATTTCTTGTTTTACACATTGGTGTTTTCGCTCGCATTGTTATTTCACTGTTCCGCTTGGAGACACACGGTTAAACAATACTGCAAGGAGTTAGGGTGTGACTTATTAACTATTACTATTCTTATCATCCAAATACAGGTCGGAGCCATTCCTGTATTTAGTCGCTAGAAAAGCCGAAGGTAAAAACTTCGAGAGATGTTCCACGGTGCAAGTCTCTTGAATGCTTAGCGTTGTTCACAAAGAAAGAGATAGATTAGCACCGGAACAAAAGTGGTAAACGAAAGGCTGACGACACTTCTAAGCCTATTAAAAAAAACACTAAAGCGTGGGTTAAAATTTAAAGAAGAATGGTATCTTTCATCAGACACAGTGTACACAAAAGTATTTATTAACTCACTCATGGTAAAAGCAAAGCGTCGAGCCAGCATGAGCACTCGGGAAATTCACGATCTAGAAGTTTCACTCGATTTAACACCCGGAAGTGTAATCGTGGCACAATGTACTTGCAAAGCTGGTAACAGTGGATACTGTAATCAAGTAATGTGTATTCTTCTTGAACTCGCCCGTTACTCCTTGGAAGAGTTAGATAGGGTTCGCAACTTGGCACTATTTGTCTAAAGCCAAAACAAATCAGTTATAAGGGTATTGATACAGATGTTTACCGGTTCTAAGTAAAAGTAATCTACTTAATCACTGAAATTGTTGTATGGTTATATACTCTTCGATACTGTATGAGAGGATGATTGGACTGTTGGGGAAAACCTTAAGGACACTTCTAACAGGAAGATACAGTCGTTAACATTAGCACTGACTAAGACCAAAATAGGTTTCTATAATGTACTAACTCGGTTTGAAACGGGAAAACTGGCGAAGGTGAGGGTATTCTATTTGCTATAACAGTCATAAGGGATTACTGCTGCTCCACAAAAGTATACACATAAAAAGTAAATTAATTGAAGGTGGTTGCCTAACAATCAGAGTTTACTAAGATGGTGCTACAGCGTCCTGATAGAGCTGAGTCAACTTCTCGTGACACTTTGTCGCATCTGGTCGATTATCAGGTTTTTGTCCCAGCAATCCTGCATCAGATCGCGCCAACCAGTTGGAGGCTTCTTCGAGCCTTCGACATGTACAGGTCTTGCGCCCCCAAGCACCTTGTCATAAAACTCCTTCACATCTCCTACCACATCAAGAAGGGCTCTCTTACCGTACCACATCTCCCAGAGCATTATACCGAAGCTGTGCACGTCTGCTTTGTAATCGTACATACAGGACTTCATCACTTCCGGAGCGAGATACATAGGAGTCCCCGTCATGGTATCCGTGATCGCTTTGGCTTCTTTGGAAACACCAAAATCGGCTACTTTGGCAACATTTTCTAACGACAGCTGTGGGAGGATAAGATAATATCCATGTAGACTGATACAGCTTCAATACCAAAGTCCAAAATTATTCTCTCTTAAAGAGGGCAAGGCAATGTGAAAAAGAAAACAAAGTGCCTAGAGGTGTTAACCTGGAATGCGTTGTAGTTATTCACTGTCACACTTGTTTTACGTGGAAAATAATCAATTTAATGCTGACTCTTCAATGAACAGGAATTAAATTAAAAAAATGGACTAGAAAGAAAAACTCAAGAACACGAGATATGATATGTGGTCATGATAACCACAAGTTCCGATTCTTAACTTACCAATATATTTTCCAGCTTGAGATCTCTGTGAACGATACCTTGTCTGTGAATGCATTCCAGAGCATCGGCAATGTCTTTTGCCCATCCTATCACATCTCTCGTAGCTGTAAAAGATGATGATGACTCACCAGGTATATTGGTTTTATGCAGGAAAATGTGCCTCATCAAGTTTTCCTTGCAGAGCTCCATCACCAGTATTGCTTTCAGCTGATGCCCTTCCTTTTGCAGTCCTGCACCATAGAACTTTACAATAAAGGGATAATTCAGTCTCCTACAAAAGGAAAACACATATGTGTAAAACAACCTACACTCTTAAAAAAACAGTATGAATATTTTCTATAATATTCTCTACACATTTTCCGATAGTAAAAGGAAGATTTTGATTCTTAGTCAAGAGATGTTTCTGTTGGCTATCATTTCCCTTATTCTCATGACGTAAATGTTTGAGTCGGCGGTGATGATGGATGGAACAATTAGATGCTTGTCACTCTTAAGTGACTCAAGGGTTTCAAAGGTAAAGACCTCTTGGTAGAATGAATGGTGAGAATTCCAACTGTTTAGATCATTCTCAATTACTATCTCGATGTGCCCTGATATATACCTATCAACTATGACAATATTTTCTTAAAAGATACGTTAAAGACGATATGGAACAACACACGATACACAAACATTGCTATATAAGTATCGCCCTTTAGAGTGCATTTCGATTGATTCTCCGAGAAAAAAACTTCATATCATATTGAGGCATCAACAATTAACCAAGCACATCTTAAATCAGTGCTTGCGACGGGAAAAAAAAACCAAGAAAACCAAATAACAGCAGGCGCAAGTGGTCACTGTGCAAGATGGAAGCTGAATAACGAACTGAGGACTGTTAGGCCTTTGAACATTCAAAACATCCTTACCATCCCTAATATTAATCTTAGCCNTGAAACCATAATCTTGATTTTCTCATGTTTCAATGCTATACTTACTGCTTACATTACTTTTTACATGTTTTACTATTGTCTCCTTTCAATATAATTGCATCATCTATAGTCAATATTTCTGAGAACCAATCAGAGAAATATTTCGTGCACATAATTTTATTAAGACTAAGCAGACAGGCATTTTCCTCAGAAGCAAATGTTTAAAAAATAACTTCAGTCACTTAACGTTTAAAGCAATTTACCTCCACTGGATCTGTAGTCTTGCTTCAATAGTTTTTAATACCATTGACTCAATACCATTCATGAGTTCAGTAAACTCTTCCTTACTTGCGTCTTTTGCTGACATGTAAATAATCTGGGATTCTAGATCTAAGCCGGGCAAACACTCTGTGAGTTTCCTCTGGATGGTATTCTTCACTTTATCAGTTTCTTCTGACGGGACCTGGTCCCACTTGTTGCAAACGAATAGTGCGCATTTTGAGAAAGATTCCCTTTGTGTGTCAAGGGACACCTGTCTGGTGTATTCGATAACGTTTTCAAGCTGAAGACAAACAGACAGAATAAGTTATTTGTTAACTTATTGATTTGGCTATTCCACTAGCTTTCTTTACCCTCATGATATTGAAAGTTATGAGTCAGTTCATCTCATTATCATGTTAGGTAAGTTCTATGGATTATCGCATTCGACGACAATTTTTGTACAATAAAGTTTACTGTAAAAGATTAAACAAATTGGCGAGGTAGATGTTTGATGCACACTATTTGTAATGCGTAACCACTTCACAATACAAATTTCCTTACCATTTCTCTGCGTAGTCCACCAGCGTTTGCAACGTTGATGACGAAAATAATTGCAACAGCCTCTGGAAGGTACGATTTTACCATGTCATCCATGATGGCAGATTCGCCCGAGCTTGGACTGTCAACTAATACAACATTTTCCTAAAAAAGAATGTACGATATGAGATGCAGCATGTAAGATGAGAAAGGATTTGTCCTTTAGCGTCACTCTTCATAGCGCATTTTGATTGGTTGAAGTAAAACCAAAGCCGAAGTTATCGCTGCAGCCAATCAGAAAAAAGAAATATTTCACATGGACCAATAAGAACACAGAGAGAGAAGACAAGCCTGATACTTTTACAGAGGAAAAACAAGAGTGACCAGGTAGCGATTGGATTTATTATGAATCTGATTAGTAATAGGAAAGAATGGAGTACAATTCAGGAAGTAATCGGGCGAATGATTTCAAATTTACCGAGCACGTAGCACGAAGCTAATTTGAAAGTGTTAGCAAACGTCTGAACTGTAGGAAACAAAGTCCGCTTGCCTATTGTCAATAAAAAAAACTACCATTTAACTCAGGAATAAAAAATTTAATGTAAGAGTACATACCCATGTCATCGATATTGACTAGCCTGCTTACCTTGGAAGTTTTCTTTATTTAGTTTGCTAGGTAGCTGATTTTTATCATCTTTCCAACTGTCAGATTTCGCCTGTCCGATTATTGGTATTTGTAATCGGACAAGTAAAATCGGATAGTTTGGACCTAAAACAAATAAAGCCACGAACAAGGGCTTTTATAAAACCATTCAAACTCGAGCGTCTTGTTCTTGACACAATTAATTGAGGAATTGAGATAATTCTGCAAGGAAAGCTCTTCTTTTCAATCATGTGCCGGAGACGCCCCTGTGATATCATTTTTGAGATCAGTTTATCATATTTTGTTCTATCACGGCAACGAATGAAAAAGTTATATCTTGGGATCTACTGGGCATACTTCGCTGATGCAAACAGGAAAATGACCTGTCTCCAGAGCAAAAACTTCCTCTAAGTTTTCATGATACGCCGATCACACCTCTTAAGATTTTTCTGCAAGGAAAAACTTTGCTCTTTTCGCGCACCATCCTGTAATGATTGTGAGATGTTTATTGTCTTCTTCTATAGTATTCCGAAACAAACCCCAGGAACATCGGGTCAAAATTGGGTCAAAATTCGGTTTTAAACGTTGAATGACCGCAGATGTTCCCAAATAAAGAAAAGCGAAGGTCGAAGAATGTCGGGTAAACTCGACAGCCTTCGTTGCGGGCTAAGAGGGCGTTGGTTTTCTATTGTTACTTCACTCGCTCAACAGGACAACATTTGGCTTCGCTTCCGCTATATATAGGAGGCAGTAGTCTTGAAAAAAGGGACTGTTAGGATTTGGAGACGTAAAATTTTAATCTCTGAAGGTGGCTAGGCTCATGAGAATTAAGTAAATTATCGCAAACTTGAAAAGCTCAATTTAAACCAAATTCGTCTTGACAGTGCCATAGGGAATGTGTTATTTCTCTAACCTTCAACAGATTGTGTGACCACAACAGCTCAATCTTTTCGAGATCTGAGCCCCTCTCTCTGTACTTAGACTCTTTCACGCTAACAAATTCGGAAATTTCGGAGGCTTCGGGTAGCTCGTCTAGGAAGACAGTAAATCCAGATTCTTTGTCAGTTAAGTGCGCCACCAGTATTGGGGTATCTCCATATCTTAGTTCACAAATGGTGGATGTGGTACTGAGAAAAGAGCACGGAAGAAGCTGCTCTCCAAGGATAAGATTCAACAAGGTGCTCTTTCCTGAACTTGTTTCGCCTGGTGAGTGTAAAAAAGTGGAAATAAAGGGAGGAGAAGAGTAACAAAATTTTTAGGACTGTGCTGATTCCTCTAGTGCTGTTTAATAGTGTAAATCGGACATGAGAGTCTGCTTCCCGCGTCATTCCCACAAGGAATCGCAAATGATAATTTATTTCCCGTCTCTTTTAATTTGTTGCCATCAGCAGAGCTTATCTCCACACTGTCTGTCTTTAAATTACTTTAAACCAGATGTTCAGATAGAATAATTTGAATAAATCCACAAAGTTGAAATGGTAAATTGGCCACCGTTACGATTATAAAAGCTAACGTTTCGAGCGTTAGCCCTTCGTCGGGGCGAATAGAGGAATTGTGGGTTGTGTGTGCTTTTAAAGGCAGAAAATGGAGCTGCGTTATTGGTGGCAACATGGCAACGAGAAAAACACGAATAAATTAGTCGAATGAAAAGCTCGAAACGTCAACTTTTATTTACGTAACGGTGGCCAATTTACCATTTCAACTTTGTTGATATATTCAAATTATTTCTTTACCCCCACCGACGCAGCCCCAAACAGTTTCTTTAAAAACTATCAGCCTTTGTTCAGATCGAGGCTGGCCGTTATGCAGCGCATTCGAAAGAGAGACATCCGTTTGGAAGGCTATCGAATAGCCTTAGCTGGTCTGGACCCGGAGACTCTCTCTTCTATTCCTGAGTTTTTTTTCTAAGTGCGACTCAGTGATGAAGGGAATTACAAAAATTAAAAATACAATTACAATGCAATTGCCTATTGCCTATTGATACAGGAAACTGGGTACGTAAATGAATGATAAATGTAAAGTTATTTTAGACTGATATGAGGTTTGGATTTTTTTTTTGGAATTAAAAAGCACTAATACAAATGACTGTTGAATTAAACGGTGACATTTGTTGTGATAAAGCATACACTGTTATCTAAAGGAACTATTTTCGAGGAGGGAGAATGTCTAGGAGGCGTGGAAGTAAAATTTTTTAGCGGTGCAAATCGAAAACAACGTACCCACTACGAATACAGTGAATTCTTTTTTCTTTAGATTTTGTTTGTGATAAACGATGTTCTCCTTGAAGTTTCCGATTGTCTGTTCCAAAAGGGCGAGAGCTTTTCCATCCAACGTGTTCAAACAATCATCTGTGCGTTCGTAGAAATTGAGCAAGGTCGTTCGTTTGTTATCGTCTCCTTTCTTTGCCTCTGTCAACACTGGAAAGGCCTGATAAATGGAAACGGGTAAAGCAAATACTGTTCAGTAATATTCGGCTGGGTAAAACAAAGATTATATTTTCAGCTATATTGGTTACTTGTGGCGTTTTACGGTTATATTGAGATATTTTTGGGTTGCTTAATTTTAACAAACAACTTCGACAACTGACTTCAAATTAAAGCATGCCCTGTTGCTAAAACGTATTACAATAAATCAAATATTTTTGCACGCGCGTGATTGGTCTAAACGCATGACTTGACCGAATACGCCCCAGCAAAAACTTGGGTTTATCCGAGGTTTCGATCCTAGTGATTCTCCTGATTTTTTAAAACTAATGTCAAATACGGAGAACTCTGCCCTTAAAATTTAATTCAAGACGAGAAAGCGTTGTGCGTTTGTTACAGAAGAAGCAACACGTTTTTTTTTTTTTTTTCATAAAGTCGTATCAGAGAACACTGAAAAGTGAACATCCCATTCCGTGAACAGTAAGCTGTTCGCAAACATTTTTTCTGCTCGTGCATTATTTGGAACACCGTCCATGTCCACGAAGAAAACTGCTCCATAAATTCTAGAGACTAAAGGTATTCTGGCCGGTGCACTCACAGCATTGTCTGTCTTGTTTTCGAAGACTGTCTGCATCTCCTTGCTTACGGCATCTCGCAGCCTTTCAATAGTATGAAGGGGGCCAGTGATCATCTTCCTTCTCTCTATCACGTTTTCACGATCTTCGGAAAAATTACGCATGAACGCCTTCGTGTGATAGGCCACGCTTGTTAGGAGGTAGTCAAGCCACCTAAGAATAAACCCATAATTGTAATGATCTTCCATTTTACCTTCATGCTCAGTCACGATAGCTATTTATGCATGCTGATCTCTCAGGGAGGTTTTGTAATTTTATATCTCAAATTAGGAACCATCCTCCTATTTTAAATATCATCATAATGTCACTATCGACTGTATGTTTGCTTCTTTTCTTTTTTTAGATAGTTTTAACCGATTTTCGACTTATAATCATGATAATAATAATAATAATAATAATAACAATAATAATCAATTTATTTAACCCTTTGGTAGTGTTAAACACTAAATTACAAAGGAGACAATAAAATTCATTCATTTCTTGGCATAACAAGCAAAAACAATTAAGCCCTCTTGTAACTGTGAGTAACGAACTTAGTAAGGCGGTCTGTTGTGACGAAGTGGAATTGAGAACAGGAAAAAACGGACCTTAACCCGTACCCATGAGCGACATTCGTGGGCTGTGTCAGCAGGTGTGCAAGGAAGCCGAACTCCTTGATGTTAGATATAAAACGCCTGCAAGCCTCATCACGGCGCGCCAACAGAGTAGGCAAACCACAGCTCACGAGTGCAGACTCATAAGAGCAATCTGGAAATATATCTGGAAATATGATTCATGTGAGGTAAAGCGTAACGTTACTGTATTATACGTTTCTAACAGAAATGAATGCTTAGATTTTCTTAACTGACCAATTAAAAACATAGGAATGCTGCGCATGCAAAAGCTATTTTCTTTTTTTTTTTTTTTGGATCGTTGGTTTGAAATGGGAGACTAAGTTAATGATGTTTACATTTTTATAAAGGAAAAGAGCATTTACTTTCAAAAGATGCCAATAAAAGTATCCCATAGTGGAGGACAAAAACAAAACCTTCCAATTTTATCTATATATACTCCCACACACGTATTTTATGGCATTGCCACTGGTAAGAAAAGATAAACTGCTTTGGTACCACGCCTCAATTCCTGAAGTGTCCTGTAACAGGCAAACCGATACGCTCTTTTATCTTCAACAGCTTCTAACCAGAGATATTTTGCGGTCCCCATTAACCGAACGAGTGAAAATATTGAACGAACAGAAAAGTATCATATTTTCAAAGCGTTGGATGCGGGCTCCTCATTTGGCTGTTGCCAATCTGGACTTTGCGTGTGGAATATGTGATAAAATGCTAGTTGTTTACATGTAATTGGCACGTGATGGCGCAAAGTCCAAGGTAATGTGTAGCTGAAGCGAATTTGTTAGATAGAAAACGTAATTGTGTAGAAAATTGACTAACAGTGGCATTTACTTCCAAATGAATTTTCTTCAGTGGGGAAGGTTTACGCTGTAAAACTTGGGTTTACTGAAAAATGGCACTCTTCTGAGAAAGTCTAATCAATAGTGACATGTATCCAGCTATTGTTGCTGTATTGGGAAAATATCGTTTTTAAACAAGATGTAGTTCATAGAAAACTTTTAAGAGCAAAGAAACGGACATTTCACATGGCAGTCAACGCAGAAAGTAAAAATAACTTGCTGATCCTTTCAGCCTTCGCCAAAAGAGCAATTACAAGGCAAAAAAAATTTGCTTTATGCAAATGCTTCGCGCAATTATTTTTTGAGTCAGCAAAACTACCTTCTCAAAAACAAACGTTCTCGTGTCAGGCCTTTAGCTGACGGTGAGTGCGTTGTAATGGGAAGGAACAATACACAAAACATGTTTTAACTTCTAAATGGTCGAAAAATTCACTGACAACCTTTCTAACCGGACAGATCATAGCGGCGAAGTCATCACAAAGTACATGAGCCATTACTAGGCTGGGTGGATAAGCTAGCAATTATTTGTTAACATCTCACTATTGGTGTGTATGAATGCTGGTTCAATTCCATTGCAACATATTGCAGTACCCTAATTTTGTAACATGATTGGCATGAGGGAAATCATAGGATTGGTGCAAGCATACCCTAATGCTGTGATCTGATTGGTGAGAGATACATACCCTGATGCGGCGATCTGATTGGTTTGAAATACATAACCTAATGCGGCGAACTGCTAGGTGCAAGAAACATACCACTCGATACGCCAACATATAATTATTTAAAAAAAATACTCAGCAGAGGACCCATTGCATCTCTACGACCAGTTAAATGTTCTGACTCTTTGTAACTGACTATTGCTTATTACCTAGTGAACCATAATTATAAAAGAACTAGTAAAATTTGCTCATTACTGTTATGCAAAGCTTCTGAAACTCATTTGAAGCCACCGCTTGGATATCCTGACGCTTTAAATTTCTTTTTAACAATAGACATTCGTACTGGCACTCACATGATTTCGAGTACAGTTGGATTAAATGAGCCCGAGTGATTTTTGTTATTTAGAGTAGCTACAATTTGTTGCCTTTGTAAGATACTTACCACTGCTTACTCTTTCCAAATTTCTTGGAAAAATTATGTGATTACTTACATGAATTTTCATGTACATTGTTACATTTTCATCAGGAGCAAATCAAGTTCTTAAGAAAACTATTTTGTCAATAAGGATGCACCTCAAGCAATTTACCTCCACTGAACCTGTGGTCTTGCTTCAATACTTTTCAACATCATGGACTTGATACCGTTCATTAGTTCACCAAACTCGTCCGTGACCACTCCAAACTTCTGGGCCTCACAAGCAACTTTTGCTGACATATAAATGATCTGAGATTCTGAATCTAAACTAGGCCAGCACTGTGTGAGTTTAGTCACGATGATGCTCTTCACTTCATCAGTTTTTTGTGGCGGCACCTGGTCCCACTTGTTGCAAACGAACAGAGCAAAGTCTAAGGAAGACTCCATCTGTTGGTCAAGGGACAATTGTCTGATATTTTCGATAAGTTTTCTTAACTGAAGATAAAAAGATAAACAAGCTTTAATTTTTGGAACATTAGGTGCCACGTAATTGTACAAGAGCCAATCATGTTTGTTAAGTTCCATGTGCCTCCGCAAGGGGCGTAGCCAGGGGGGTCCTGGGGTGTCTGTGGATCCCCCCCCCCCTTGGTAGGCCTTCTTTAGAGCAAACAACCTACAATATGCAGGTGGCGAAAACCCCATGACAATATATTGGCCGAAAAAGCCATCGTTGAAAAGCCCACTTTTTTAAAATTTGTTTTTTTTTAGTGTAGTATTTTCGTCAACGGTTCTTGTATTTAGTTAATATGGGACTTCATGCCACGATAATACGACTGAGCCCGCTGATACACGCGGGAGAGCGGCGGTGTAAATGGTGAGTAGCCTCTGTGACCCCCCTTTGGAAAACCCTGGCTACGTTCCTGCTCCGTCGCCATTTTGTACGAAGCTTTTGAAACTCATCGAGTCATCGCCTTCTTTCTGTCTTGCTGTTCGCCATAAAATTGTGTTGCGTTTGAAATCTCCTTTTTCTCGATGAGATCTCAGCGAAATCTCATTATTATTTTCTAAACTAAACGGTTCAGACAAAAGATTTGTCCTAGATGTTAAGGAGAAAAGAAAACTCCTAATTATACGTCAACCGTCCCCGTCTTAGAGCCCCACCACTGCATAACACTACGTGGCCGATCTGGAAAATAATGACCTCTCGATAACTGGGATATCGATCTTTTTTCTTCTGGAATTTTTTTCTTGGTCGGTTAAGTTACTCTTGGAAGTCTCTCAAAGTGATGGGCCAGTTGCAGATATAAAAAAAATTAGATGGTTTTGGCAGCCAACTTAGTTCTCTTTGACTCTTTATACAGATGGCCTGCACTTGGCGCTAAAAATGGCCTTACCCAGTATCTAGATACTCCACAGGCGTTTGCACTGTTAATGACGTAAATAAAAGCGGAAGCCTTTGGAAGGTACGCTGTTACTATGTCATCCATGATGTCAGATTCACCGACGCTTGGGCTGTCACCTAGTACAATGTTTTCCTAAAAGATAAGTAAAAGATAATATGGAAGAACATGCTGAACAAAAACATTGGTCTTCAAGTATTGCCCTTCAGTTTGCATTTCGATTGATTGTCTGTGAAAAGAATCTAAAGTAATCACATCAGCCAATCAGAGCAAGGGAAAATATAACAACATCCAATGAGAAGCCAAAGTATAAACAAGCAAATTGATAGATAGATAGATAGATAGATAGATAGATAGATAGATAGATAGATAGATAGACGTTTATTAAAAAGAATACCTTAATAGCAGCTGGAAGCTGAATTGCAAAGGTGTACAAATTATGTAATAGTACTATACAATAAAATCAAACCTGAAAGGGAACCAATTTACATATACAATGGTAATAAAGGTTAGTCAAAATGTCTTGCGCTTGCTGGAATGAAAGCATCTCTGAACTGATTTGTTTTAAACGAAACTCTAAATGGTCTGCGTCGTCGTAACTCCATAAGTTGATCTCGTTTCTCGAAAGGCAGTAAGTGGTACAAACAATCCAAGGGATTGGAGACGATGTTGTGAAAGAATTTTAAGCAAAGGTCTTCTCTCCGATCCCTTAGGGTTTTCAGCTCTGCCATCTGAAGCACTTCTCTATAATGATTATCATAACCGTATATAATTTTCAAGGCTATCTTTTGGACACGCTCTAAACTTTAGCTCAAATAATTGGGGAGACTATAATGGTAGACCTGACATCCATAAAGTAAGACAGATTGAATACAAGCAACACAAAAATTTACTAATTCTGGTGATGGTACCTTAGCTCGCTTTAACTGAGTTAAAAAGTAAAGGCGCTTAGCGGCCTTTTTAATCGTCTCAGTAACGTGGGTGTTCCACTTGAGGTTGTCTTGAAAATACACACCTAGTAATTTCACGACACCAACGGCACTAACCTTAGAGCCATTAATTTCTATGAGATCGTAGGAAGGAGGGGAGCACACAAAGGAAACTCTTAGCTCATTGCATTTTTTCGGATGGAGTTGAAACGAGTTGAGTGTTGACCAGGTAGCTACTTCGTTTATCATAGACTGAGCATTGCTAGGACCACCCTTGCTTATGTTTTCATATACTATCGTGTCATCTACATATTTCATACAATCACTGGCTGATGGTGCTTTCAAATCGTTTATCATAACCAAGAATAGCCACGGTCCCAATTTTGTTCCCTGCGGTACTCCTGCTCGGACCGATCCCCACTCTGAGAGACAATCATGTGCAAGTTTGACCCTTTGTTTCCTATCTTAAAGAAAGGCTATTATCCAATTAATGATGTAAGGGTTGATGTTGTAGGTCGAGAGTTTCGAAAGCAAGAGGCTGTGATCTATCAGATCGAAGGCTTTTCTATAGTCCAACGCAAAGATCCGCACGGTGTTCCCCGTTCCGTCTGTTGCTTGCGTCCAATTGTGCATCAGATTTATCAATGCGTGCGCATTGATTTTAGTTTGAGTCTGATTGATTGGCGTAAATTTTCAGGACCAGTTACAGAGCGAAGCAAGGCAAAGCGAAGTATTCCAGATTAGTTCCAGCATCAAATTGAAAATTAAAAAGGTACGGTAAAGCCTAATTACGTGCCATGTGGCTCATCGGGCCGGCGCTTAACTCCGGTTTCCGTAGCATGAAGCGGCTAGGAGTAATTTTACCCTCCCCCCCCCCTCCGAATGGGATGCAAGTCCATCGTAGGGTTATCCCCAACATTAAATTTTCCGGTACCCATTCAATCACCTGGTTGGAGAGAGGCACTGTGAGAGTAAAGTGTCATGCCTAAAAACACAACAGAATGTTCCCGGCCGGAGCTCGAACCCAGACCACTCGATCCAGCTGTCACGCAAGAGGTCGTGTATTTGGTACATTCCTGGCCAAGCTGAAAGATTGGTCTGGACCTCTTGTCTGACGGCCGTTCATCGGATCGCATTACATTTTTTGTCATTTTGTAGCCCGAACTCTCTGAAAGCTGGACGCGCCGCCTATGGCGGGCCAAGAAAGAACTCAGTGGCGGATCCAGGGGGAGGTCTGGGGGTTCCGGACCCCCCTATCAGACCTGACGCTTACCACTTTGAGACTGATATTCTTAAATCGAAAGGATCGTATATCAATTTTTAACTGGCTGATTTTTTTGATGAATCCAAGTAAACGGTAAGCGGCCAAGGAATTATAACGTGCAACCGCAACTGGTGGGAGGGGGTGTGGGGGGTGTGGGGGAGAAGTAATCTGCCTCAAAAGAGTCCAACAGTCCTTTCTGAACCAAAGTTTGGACCCCCCAATCAAAAATTCCTGGATTCTTCCATGAAACTTAGAGGAATTAAACTACAAGGATAAAAATTTAAGATGATATATATTTTGGTTTGTAAATATATCATACAAGACCTTTTTAAAGGCCTTTAAATAGGTCGTGACAGCTGTTCAGCGGTTCGCATTGCAATTTTGACAAAATAGCCCAAACTCTTTTAAACCTGGACGTGCCGCTTATGGCGGGCCAAGATAGAGAATTGGAGTAATTAAAATACAAGAATAAAGCTTTAAGATGATGTCTATTATGATTTTTTAGTGTATATGGCAGACCTGTTCGTAGGCCACTGAAGTTGACCTTTATTTTACCTCCGCGAAAGAGGCGCGAAGAACTTTATTTTAACTGGTCACTATTCAGACTTAAACGAACAACATAACAAGAAATTAATATTTTCCAAGAGATAAAATGACCACCTGCTAGCACGCAAAATTTAAAAGCAGGATTGCATCGCGTTGCAGCGTACGAACTTGCCGAAGTTGCATAACTTTTCATTGCATTAAGGGGGGGGGGGGGAAACGACCATTTAGGTGTATTTTGAACTTTTAGAATTTTCAAAGAAAAAAAGTGCGATAGAAATTTTTGATATAGTGTCCGAAAAAGGTTCATTAAAAGGGTCCTTTAGAAAAAATTAAACGAATTACAAAATTTTGCAAATGTGGGCGGATTATCGAAAGCCAAATAACAGAATATAGGAGGTGAATTGAGAACTATAGGAACTGTTAGGAATTTGGATTAGGCCTTTCCCGAGTGCGCTAAGCACCTTTTGAGCACTTTTTTTAGTTTGGGACACTATTTTGCATTTTGAGCACCCTTAAGCACTTTTCGCACTTTGGGAAACATTTGAGCAATATTTGTCATTTCGAACAAATTTCGAGCAACATATGTCTTCTAAAACATTTTAAAGCAAAAACCGTGTGTCGCTCGCAACGAGAATCGTGTTCCAGGTCATAAATTTGAATAACTAATGATGTAATGGTCAAGAATAAAAGACCGTTGTCATGGAAAGACACGTGGACTTATCCCCACTGAGCGTGAAAACAGAAGTTTCTGATTGGCTGATGTATCATGTGTGTGTCATCTCAAATTTCTAAATCATCTGATGTCTAGGCTTTACACTAGTAGTGCTGAATTCATTTACAATTCGTAACCGGCTTTAGTTCTTTAAGAGCAAAAATGGAAGCACTAAATCAGTCGGAAAACGATGGCACTGAAGACGACGAAGTGATTGATACAATTACAATAACAGTAAATGCTGGAGCATCCCTTAGTGCTCCAGAAAGTGCTTCGATAGCACGAAAGCGAAAGGTTCCGATCAACAAAGGGAAGGGTTAGGGGTAGGAGACGTTAATTTCCCACGCACGAGAGTACTGTGTCGTGGATGGCCTTCCCCAGTGGGGTGGAATGGGTGGGAATTGTCCCTGAAAAGCCCCCATGGGGAGTGGTCAACTAACGTATGAAGGTATATCTATGTAAGAACAAGCAAAGAGGAAGCGTCAAAACCACCAATGTGAGTACACGGGATCGTTTCAAAGAGTACCCAAACCAACAGTTTGCCGTGGTAAAAAAAAAAAAGCTGAGATGTAACGCCTGCAGCGAAGTTCTCAGTTATAAGAAAAGTTCTATTGAAAGACACACGAAATCAAAGAAACATGAAAAGAGCCTGGCTGATATTGAGAGAAATAAATCAGAACAGCAGTCCATCAAAGAATAATGCCTGCAGAAGAGGGGAAAAATTGACATATTTACGAAAAGCTTAGAGGTAACTGTTCACAACTTTTAGCTATTTTTAGGCACTATTTTGAGATTTTGAGCACTTTTTGAGCACTTTTTGAGCACTTTTTAGCCATTTTTTCCGGCACTTTTTTAGGAGTTTACGAGCGCAATCGGGAAAGGCCTAAACTGGATATTCAAACAGCCTTAGCATCCTTAACATCCGTAACATTTCAACCAGTTAATGAAATCGTAGATGCCATAGAACTAGGATAGTAATGCTGCAGCACATTCTGTTGATGGTGACAGTTTACGCAATGATTCATCTACCTGTGCGTTCCAAAACTTACCTTAACCTTTATTTCTTAAAGTAGAGTCAAATCGTGGAGTATTTCCAAAACTAAGATTCAAGGGCACTTTCTCACTTCAAATGATATTCTAGCCAATTCTGTCTGAGCACTGGCTTAGAGTTTACTTAGTTCGTTAACTACATACCATGACGAATTGGAATTTTTGGCTCTTTTTCTTTTTTCTTTTTTTTTGGGGGGGGGATAGGGGATGGTAAATAATAGAGGATACCTAGATGGAGGTTTTGAGAAGCATATCTGAAAATATTTTCTGTGGGAGAGAAAATAGAGCACACACGGTAGAAAACTTTATCTTTTATAAATATTTGCCTTTTGCTTTCCGGCTTACTGGCGTGTCACTTAAGGTAAGGTAGAGTTATTTATTGATCAAGGACTCCTTTCAATGTCTAGTTCAACTGTCCTTCATTTGATATTCATGATAATAGATGTAAAATACAATAACCGCTATTATTACACGACTCGGGCAGTCAGAGGGCCAATAACTAAAATCAACCAATCTGAATGCTCTATTGCCGGTCAATATTCTCTCAGTATTGGACCGGGCACTGTCTCGAATGGTCCCGAATGATACCGCACTTGTGTCCCTTTGAACTTCAGTCGTATAATAAATCTCTTATTAACCAAGCTTGCTCGGAACCGTACTGGAAGAATATCGGCCCTCGGTTTTTTTTTGTACGGACCTCGCTGCGCTCGGTCCGTACTGTCAAGACCTCGGGACGATATTCTCCCAGTACGGCCCTCGCGCTTGGTTAATAAGATATATTTAGTTAATTTGCCTTGACTTGGGAAAGTAGATCTACAGCACGACTGAGTACATATAGGCTAGTAGAAACGCCGTGTAACCCAATACACTAAACGCAACAATAGGACTTTTCACTGCCATCACCAGTCTCAAACACTATCACTTAAAATGCATAAAACACGCATACCGTTCGAGAGCTTTGAAGAGCGTTTTTTCAGAGCTGTTTTAAGGATCAAAGTGGCCATTCAAATCTTTGGAAGGCCTCAAAATACGACGTGCAACAAATTTGACCTTCTCGAACACCTGTCTCAAATTACTTACTAAAAAAAAACAAAGCCTGCGTTTGTCATTGAGAACGAAAGAACACGAAAAAAATGCGCCAAAAAATACCTCTGCTCATTCAGAATATGTCAAATAACGTTTATCTATAGTTAAAGAAAAAAATGGCCTTAATTTTATGGAATGTTCAGTCAAAATCTGCCCCGTTTACCGCCACATTGAGAATCACGCTACCACTATGCTATCTATTGTGCCTGTGCCTGTGCCTGCATTTAGTGAAGTGCTGTTGTGAGGTACAGACCCGCAGTACATTCTGGTAATGAGTGGTGCAGTGCACTCTAGTTAAAAGCAAAAATGCATTCTGGTAAAAGTTGATGAATTCGAGAATTTGCATCCCGTATATTCTTTTCAAATCCTGATTATGATGCTGCTCGTAAAGACATTCATGCCTAGTGCAATAAACATTCTCAAGCTTGATGACAAAATAATCAATTTCCAATCTTGGATCGATCTCTATTACTTTAAGAGAATACCGAGCTTGCTTATTTCTTACCTTCAACAGATTGTGTGGCCAAAACAGCTCAATCTTTTCGTATTTTAAACCCCTCTCTCTGTTCGTGTTCAGGTAGAGAAGAGAGAATCTCCAGTGTTGAAGGTGACTCCGCTTGGAGGCTTCGAATGGCTTTTCTAGGAGGACAGTCTTAGAGGTATTCCCAGATTCTTTGTCTTTATAGTGCGCCACCAACTTTGGTGTATCTCCGTACCTAATTTCAACGATTGTGGATGTAGTACTGGGAACGGAGTAAGGAAGAAGTTGCTCTCCGAGAATCAGATTCAACAGGGTGCTCTTTCCTGAACCTGTATCACCTAGCAATTGTAAACAGGTATATTTAAAGGAGGAACACAGAATTAACAACGACAGGAATTTGTTAGTTTCATTGAGGCTGTCATAAAATTCAGTCTTAAGGCTTGATCATTTTTTCTTCATACAAATTATTAGCATAAGGATTAGCTGAGATTGTATTTGCATAATAGAGACCTTAGAGGCTGGTTTTCACTTGCGACGGAGTCGTAGTCGAGGTCGTAATCAGAAGCGTGGAGCGATACGATCTATTGAAATTCAAACCGACGGAGTCGGAAGGAGAACACCGATTCTGCTTTACTCCGTCGCTTACGATCTAGTGAAAACTGCATTGTCGGAGTCGGAAGCGGAAGCGGAACCGGAAGAATAAACCAATCAGAATGCTCGATTCCATCTTTCCAAAATGCAAAAATAGCCGTAACAAGTTTAAACGTGTGACTGTAAAATTACGAAATTAAAAGTTAAAATACTCGAAACCTACCAAAAGTACAATTCACGATCACCATGTCGTGGTTCGCTGACGAAGTTAGCATACTCTTCCTAAGCTGCTCGACGTCGATAGATATCACGAACCCAAAATCTCTTTCTTTTTCGAACGATATTATTCCTGTACTGTCTTTGCCTGCGCAAAATAATGATTAATAAGAGCCAAACTTGCTCTTCGTCCGCCATGTTGTCTTTGGCGCCAAAATTTGTACTTTCGCGGGCCTGGAATTGAGGATTATGATTGGTTTATTCTTCCGCTTCCGCTTCCAACTCCGACAATGCGGTTTTCACCAGCTCGTAAGCAACGGAGTCATAAGCGGAATCGGAAGAAAATGGAAACGTTCTGATTCTTCCGACTCCGATTCCGTCGAGCTTATGACTCTGCTTACGACTCCGTTTTTCGATTTTCACCAGGTCATAAGCGCTCTGACGACTCCGACTACGACTCCGACTCCGTCGCTAATGAAAACCAGCCTTAAAGTGCTACTGAAGCGAAAATCAATCCACTGTAAAAAACGTTTAATTATTACTTCGATTCCTATTTAATCAGATAAAAAGTTTTTAAGCCATGAAAACATTTCCTTCATTGTATTTTTAGAGCGCGAACACAGACAAGTTGCTGAAAAAAGTGCGTCCGGGCAATTTCCTAGTTAGTTATGCATGTGACGTCACACGGTTGACACATCGAGCGTTGGGGAAAGTGCAGCTCATACATTTCACAATGGCGAAGCATGGTGGAAAGACTTGTGCGGCTAGTG